AAGGAAACTTTCTCCTCCAGCGGTCCTATTGTTATCTCATGGACCTCCAAGGAGGAACGGAGAAGGATGGCCATAGGCTCAATGGCAAGGGCAAACAGCCCCAGGGAGAGGGGGCATCCTTGTCTTGTTCCCGTGCATAGGCCAAAGGAGGGGGAAAGAGTATCCCCCATGCATACCTGGGCTGTCTGATTCATGTATAGGGTCTGTAACCAAGAAATAAATTTAGGGCCAAAGCCCTAAGTATCTCCCACAGATATGCCCATTCAATTAAATCAAAAGCTTTTTCTGCGTCAAGAGACGCAACCACATTGGACTGGGTAATGCAATTGGTAGAGGTCAATACCGTATATAGTCTCCGATGATTGTCTGTACCCATACCGGGCATAAAGCCCAATTGATAATCATGTATCAATGTGAGAATAACCTCAGTGAGTCTTCTGGCAAGGATCTTGGTTAGTATCTTGGCATCTGTATTAAGGAGGGAAATAGGTCAGTAGGACATACATAATTTGGGATCCTTCCCTGGTTTAGGAACAACTACAATGACTGCCTGGGCCATGGAGGCTGGGAGGGTGCCCTTCTGCAAAGCCTCAACCAGCATCACATGGAACTTAGGTGTTAAAATTTCACTGTACTGCTTGTAAAAATGTGGGGGGAAGACCATCTACTCCTGAGTTTTCACAGATTGGACATCACCCAGGACCTGCTGCACCCCTTCCAAAGTGATTGGAGCATCTGTTCCCATCCTGGTTCTTAGCAATACTGGTAGTAGGTGTTTGCTCTTTAGACAACCAAACAAGAGCTTCCCGTTTTTTTTGCCCTGCTCAAAAATGCACTGCGATTGGGACAACTGTTACTTTCCCCGCTGCCTCCACTCAGATGAGCATTACCTCTCGGTATGCTACCTTCATATCCTGGTAAGTAATAGGATTACAAGTTATAGTATACTGTGATTCAAGTGTCTGGGCCTTATTCTCTGCACTGTCCAGATCAGCAGCAGCATCTCGTTGGACTGCAGATATAGCAGATTGATAACAAACCCTAACATAGGCTTTAAATGCATCCCAGAAAATTTCAGGAGAAATCGAACCTTCATTTAGGGGCCAGCAGTCCTGTATCTGCGGGGGAAACCAGGGGCTCGACCCTATTATCCGAGAACCAGAAGCAGGGCAGCCACCATATCTTCTCTGAAGGAAGGGTCATCGTTTATAGACTACACATCATAGGGGCATGATCAGAGATCCCTATAGGGAGCATAGAGACCTCTTGAACTTTGGATAGCAAGCTACTACTAACATATATTAAATCTATTATTGACATAGTGTTATAGGTAGTGCAGTGACAAGTGAAGGCCCTGACATCAGGGTATTTCCACCGCCATAAATCGTATAATCCACAGGCAGACGCCCACTTAGAGCATGCAGAGTCCACAGCAGCATCAGGAGTAAACTAAATATGTATTTGTGAGCATATTGAAATCCCCTGCAATTATATTATCAGTAGCATAACCAGATAGAAGGGTATTCAAGGTATGGAGATATGATGCCATGGCTGGAGCACATATAAGCCTAAAATAAGCATGGCAATTGCATCAATGACTGCATGTACCAGCACGTACCTTCCTTCGGGGTCTAACCTAGGTCCAACAGGGTATAGTTAAGGGACTTGTGGATTGATATGCTGACCCCTGAACATATGCTGAAAAAGTTGCATGGTAATAATGGGCTACATAGGGTTTCTTTAACCTCAAAACTCTACTGCTCATGAGGTGAGTTTCCTGAAGTATACAGACATGAGGGTTGTACTTCTTGAGGTAAGTAAAGACTAGAGATTTCTTGATTTTAGCATTCAAACCCCGTCCATTCCTGGAGAGAAATCTTATGGGAGCCATGAGAAAGAGTAAACTATAAATCTAACAGGATAGAAATGTTCCAAAGGCCCAGGGGAAGGTACGCTCCCAGCACAATAGACCTACAGAGATTAATTCCGCCCACAACCCAGTACCCTTGTGTGACGAACGCGGTGCCTGACCCCTGCCCTTCTACCAACTTGTGACAAAGGACCAGCCAATCTCACACCGCTCTGTCATTTGCGTAACAATGCCACTCAGGTGCACCCTGCACAAAGATTTTCCAGCTCGCGGGACCACAATCTATGTGCCAGCAGCCTGAGAGCGGGATTAATTAATTACGCAATTAACCCTTGAAACTCCAAACTGCCACCAGATCGTTTTGTGCCTATCAACCCTTCACAATGTTAGCAAGAACAAATGTTAACAATAAATGTCTGTAACACACACTGTCACCACAGACAAGTATATTCAGAGGATTATTATACAGTAGCACTCTTCAAGAGACAGGGATTCTTTAGTTTGCATTAAAAGCTTTAAAGACAGTTTCAACACTTTTCAAAATAGGGTTTATTACTAAAAAGGTCAAAATGGTGCAATTAAAATATTTACAGAAAGGGATGTTACAAAGAAATAGAGAACGGTAATGCAACAGAGAAATAAAAGAAAGGAGTTAAGAAGGCAGAATATTTGCAAAGCTCTGGTTTAGCAGAGTCCAATTGTCCAAGCAAAAAGGTTGCCTTGGCTCTCAAGTCCATTAAGATGTTCCTTGGTTGATGTTAAACGAGAGCTCGTTTACTAGATCCGGTCAGTCCCTTTTCTTTGATATCAAAGGAGTGTTACCTGAGAACAACTGACCAATCATCTGGTTTAGGGGATGGGTGCTAGGAGGTCACCAAATTTATGACCAACTACAGTTTCATACTAATATTAACAACTTCCAATATGTGCAGGTGGCATTCTAGCAACTGGCAGATTATTATTCAGAAATATATTTAGAACCCAACACAGCGTACCTTTGTCACCCAGGAGGGAAGAGACTGCTTTCTCCCGCTTTCCTATGTGCTAACATAGTCATGTATGACCTTGATTTGTTCGGTATGATATTCCCCTAATATTAATGTACCCTGTTCCTGTTGAATTCTATGAATTGTATGTGGAATTGTTACATGTGGAATAGATGTTTTATGGTTGCTCTGCATTCCTAGAACCTTAATGGCCTAACAGGTCATTTTTGACTGAGTTATTATTGTTTTACGATCGGACAGAGGAAAGTGTTTTCCATGGTTCCTGAAATAGACATCCTGCCAAGACTAATAAGCTGTTTACAGCTGCCATCCAGGCCTAGGGTCTGGTGCTATTGTGATTTAATTAAGATAAGAGGCTCTTTTGAAGTTCGTTAAAACTTACAGCTACAAATTCCATAGTTTGCAAAGGGGTAGGCACAATGAAGGCAGTTATCAAGCAACTTAGCTGTGCAAGTGCTGCGGCCCCCCAACCCGAGCAGAAGTATTAGGCAAAAGTGCACGCCATATCAGCGGGCGCAGGGCAAGATATCAAGCCATTGTGAGACATCTTCAGGAGAGGTAAAATAGCGAGTAGACTCGCCATCCTCCACCCGGAGGTGAGCTGGGAATAGCATATTGTATTTTAACCCTTGAGTGCAAAGTTGGGCCTTGACATGGTTGAAGGTCCTCCAGAGCCTCTGAGTTTCCACCGAGTAATCTGGAAAAAGCATAAGCTTAACATTCTCATAATGCAGTGCCTCCAATTTCCACGTCTCCTGCAGCAACATGTCTCTAACTCGGAAGTTGAGGAGGCGAAAGATGAAGGTGCATGGTGGAGCACTTGGTGGGCCCCTCACCAGTGGCATCCTATGAAGCCCGCTCTACCGCAAAAAAGGGAGAAAAGGGAGGAGTGTGTGCAGTAAGCGCTCCATGAAGACCACAGGATCTTGGCCTTTGGCTTCCTCTGGCAGCCTGACTACCCAAAGGTTATTCCTGCATTTCCTGTTCTTGGGGTTGTTCCTGAACGGAATCCTCCAAGTCGCCAATGCGCCTTTCCACCTCAGTAAGCTGGTCTAGGAACTTGTCCTTGTCTCTCCTAATCAGCCCAATATCAGTCTGCTGAAGGTCTATCTTTGCCGTGAGCGTGGTCTGACAGACCGAGATGGCTTTCATAAGAGCAGTAAATTGATTGGGCTCCAACGCCACAGGGTCCCCTGCCTCAGTCTTGGCAGCCATGTTAGGACGGCCCAAGTCTCCTTTCCCTTTCACAGATAGGGACGGTTTAGAGGTGGAGACCCACTTATGTCTGGTCCCAAAATCACCTCTGGTCATGCCCTGAGATGCTGTGGTGTAGATTGCGTCACCCAGAGGGGTAGATCTCTATAAAAAACAGATAAATGCAACAGGCTGGTGTGGAGCTTCTCTCACCCACGTCTGCTCAGGTCACCATCTTTACCACGCCCCCTGAGCCTCTTATTTATACATGTTGATCATATATCCCTTTATTTCCTCTTCTCAAGAGAGAATAAATTCACTTTCCCTAATATTTACTCATAGCTGAGCTTCTCCATGCCTCTTATCAGTTTAGTTGCCCTTCTCTTCACTTTCTCCAGTTATCCAATATCCTTTTTGTGAACTGGTGCCCAATATTGAACTGCATATCCTAGATGAAGTTTTACTATATACATACTACATACCCACACTAAATTTCAGGTTTAAGAGATGGAGAGAGAATGGTGGTGAATTCGTACATGTTCTGCTGTTGTTTCATTGTCCAGCCTAAGGCAGGTCCTTGTCCAGGCTGTATTGCTCTACTGCATTTATTTGAGGAGTTCCAGGCAAGTTACAAATCAGTTGGCAGGTAACACAGTGCACATACTGTATATGTATTTCTGTTGTGTATTTAGCAGTTCACCTAGAGTTCCACTTTAAATATATTAAGTATGTTCGCCTATCCACATAACTTTTTTTAATTGAACAGTTTTTTCAACAAAGCTATTCATACTGAAGCTTTTGTTAAAATCGAGCTGTCTTTATGCTTCAAGCCAATGAAAATATAAAACATTTGGTATGCAAAATTGGTAAGCTTCATTATTTGAACAGGTCACAGGTTGTAAACATTTTGTTCTGTTTTTTCTTTTTAGTTCAGCTGTGGCATACATGTGTGGTCACCTGCATGCACTGGGAGGGCTGGCCCTATATAGTCAGCATCAACAAGGCACCCTGGAGCTGGAGCTTGGAGACTGGAAGGACAATAGAAGGTAATAATAACATCTTATTTGTACATTAAAGGACACAGAATGGGTATTCCAAGACCATGGATTACATGCTGCTACAGATGACTGGACACTGGCAAGAACCTTTGCTGAAGTGTACCCATATAACCCCACCAAATCTATGAGGCTCCAGTGTTTTGATAGTGAGCTTAGGCGATGGACCTGTTTTCCTCTGGGGAAGTGTTTTTCCATCTGAACCTTCTATCAACATCGTCTGATTGCCTTGCACCATCTAGCAGTTTCTGAAACGGTTACCCTTGGTGTGTACCTTGAGGACCATACCCAGATGCCACCATGTGGGGCTGGCTTTTGTTAGCTTCAGGCACTGGATCCTGCATTTGACACTCACCTTGGAACAAAATGCAGTGTGTGAAGTTAGCTGCAGGGTGCTTTACAGGCCCAGGGCCATGGTCCATTTATGTGGTTCCTAGACCCTGAAGACCACTTGGGGGGTGCCCACCAGCAGCTGAGTAGCCTGGACCTTATTATGGCCCAGCATCATGGAAAATATAAGGCAAAGTTTTCCTGTACATGAGCTCTGGTTCCTGGCTTTAAATTTGATCTCCAGGTTTCCTGTCACTTCATAGAGTTTGTTTGGACCAAACTGCTCCAAACAAGCTCTTTCCTTCACTAACTGCTGCACTGGTTCTAAGCACTGTATGAATTCTTATTGTTTCTTATCTTCAAATCTGCCAGATTCAGACCAAAAGAAGGCAAATTTGATGACTACCTTGCACCAACTCTAGGTACAAGGAGTGTGTGTAGCTGTTCCTTCAGGAGAACGGTTTCAATGTTTTATGCAAACCATTCACAGTCCTGAAACCAAATGGAGGAAAGCGCACAATACTGGACTAAAGATTACTAAACCGATTTCTTCGTGTTCCAAAATTACAGATAGAATCTACAAGATCTGTTGTTGCTTCCCTCAGACAAAGAGAATTTCCTGTATTAGTAGATGTAAAAAATGCCTATTTCCATATTCCAACTTCCCCATCACAACAGCTGCCTGGCTGTTCAGGGGACATGGTCCTCACAGGAGTCGCAACTTTCCATTAGCATTCTGGAACCCATTGCCATCAGACTGTCTCTACAGTATTGGACCTCCTTTCTACGAGGTCACCTAGTCAAAGTAGAATCACAGTACCACAGCACTTGCCTACATAAACCATCAAGGGGCACCAGAAGCCTAGCATTCCTGAAAAAATATGTATAATTGTCTCATGGGCATGAATTTGCACTACAAATCTCCCACCAGTGCATATTCAAGTCAGTGGATAGTTGTCATGTGTTTTTTTTTTTTTTTTAAGCCATCAATGCCTTCAAGTGCTTTTTGCTCTTCAGAAACTTCCCTTTGAACTGGTTACAGACATTCCTTTGGAACAACTTACCCTTAAATCCATATTAACCCAAAATGTACTATATTGCAGCTTACCAATCCTTAAATGGGGGTGGCTGCATTAGTGTTTTTTTTTTTTTGCACTTTCATTTTTCCTGGTGATACAGCCAGTGACACACTTCTGTGTTAGCGCTCTTTCACACTTCCATGCTTCTAAAACACACTAAGTGGTGAATAGCTAGTTGTTAAGGACACCAGCAGGTGCTGGCTCCACGAAAGCCAGCTATTCACTGGTTAAGGACACCATTGGGTGCCCGCTCTGCTGTTTTCTGGTTGTTAAGTACCTAGCACCTGCCAGTGTCCTATATATCAGCAGATAGCTACACATACAATACCCCCTGTACCTCCATGGTGGTCACCTCCAGCTCTTCTCAGTCCCTTGTGCTGAAGTTGGTCCAGCCGGTGGTGAAGAGTGTGGCCAGGCAGAGCAGAGCCTGCCACAGCTACCATCAGACGTGGCAGAGGGGGGAAGAACCAGCTAACACTTTATAAGCAGTTACAGCAAAAATTTCTTTCTTTTTGGGATAAAGGTTTTACAGAAATAAAAGCCATCCATTGTAAGCACTCCTGTTTGTGGTAAATGGGTTGATGCTACCCTCAAACTGCTACTTTTTTTGGACATCTTGTTCTTTTGAAATAGATTGAAAAGAAGTGAATTTGATGGCTGGATTACCAGATGAAAATAAAGGGGAAAAAAACTAATGGCAGCCAGCACATCTAAGAATTTGTAAGCTGCGATTTTAATAAATTTTTAGTTTTTTAGTTTAAGACTGCTTTTAAGTTGACTTCATGATTGCCATCTCTTCTGTTAGGTATGTTTCTGAGTTAGCAGATCTATTTTGTAAGTGTAGCACTACCCTCTTAGGAACTTGCTGAAGTCTTTGGCTCCCGCTATAGTCCTGCACAGCCAGGCAGCACGCATTTCCTCAATCAGACTTGTTTCCAGGAGACGGCAACCAGTCCTTGAGCTTTGTTTTTTTAATTGTATTAGGAGATTTGAACTGGGATGGGGTTAGGGGTGTACGGGATGCCCAATGGAACTGAGAAACCGAGGACAACTTCCTGAAACTTTATCCAAGTTTTTACAGCAAAAAATCCTCCTCTTGGAGAGCTTGCCAGCGTCTCCGTTTGTACTAGTCCAGACCCTAGATACTCCTTATCTAGCTGTTCTGGGTGAATCCCTGAGCAGGGAATCCAATGCCTGTCACTTTAAAGTAAGATCGTCCCGGATAGTAGCTAATCTTTTTTTTCCACCAGAGTGCTCCTTCCCCTGTCTGGCCCAGGGGGTGCAGGTCTACTCGCTCAGTCCTTTTCCTTTGTTACTGGTGGGTTGGTGGCTGCTACCAGGCCTTCTAGCTGAGCCACTCCTTCCCTGCCTCACAGGTGGTCCTCGGGGACGGTGCAGTCCTAAGCTTTCCTCCTTCCAAGCTTCTTGCCTGGGGGTGAATCCCTCTCCCATCTGGGCCCCCTCCCAGACTCATGCTCTCCAGCCTCACTTCCTCTCCATCTTTCACCCACATTTTTGGAGTGGAGAAGTTAGGGTTTGGCCAGGATCCTTCAAGAGTACAGACTAGCCACTCCTCTCCTCTTCCCACTGTTTCTAGATCTTTTTCCAAGGTTCTAGAACAGGGGGAAGTCTCGGAGAGCTAGTCTGCAGAGCCTCGCAGCTCTGACCCTAATTTGACCCTGCTAGCTATCACAGCCAGGCTTCTATTCAGCTCTTCTAACTAACAATTGAACTAGAGCTCCCCCTAGCTAACTAGGAGGGTGCTACATAAGGTGCCTTTTATTGTTTTGCACAGGAATTAGGTGGTTTTGAGACCAAAACCTTCCGTTTTGCCTAAGGTGGTCTTCTCCATTGACTTCTAATGAGGCTCTAATCTGTCCTTCTTTCCTTATGTCTTGCTTCAACAAGGAAATTGCCCTACACTGCCTATATTTGGTCAGCTCTGTCGGGATCTACCTGAAAGGAACCGCCTGTATTCACAAGACTTTGTCCTGCCTGTGGGCCTTTGTAGAGAACACCCTGGACTCCTGCCTATGCCCTTAAGTAAAAAGGTTCCCCTCTTTTTTTGAAGTGAGAGTAAACTCCCTTTACTCTCAGGTAAGCCTATATTAAGGCTTACCTGTAGGTACTGTAAATATCTCCAAAACATGCACTGTTTAGGAGATATTTTACATGTGAAGCAGCCATTGACGTCACTTGCGCATGCGCCCTGTGCTCTCAATGGACAGCATGCTGCCCATTGAGAGAGCTGTGGCGTGGCCATGACTGAAGTACGCATGCATGGGAATGATATCATCGCACCTCTCCCATTCAAGGGAGGAAGACTGGATGAAGATGGATTCCCTGTCAGCGGTGACAGGGAGCCACTGGAGGGATCCTTTTCACATGTAAGGAGCTGTATTTTACCCTACTGTGGGACCATTTTTTTTTTCTTTAATCCAAACTCTGTTTACTACCACTTTAAGAGAGCCAATTCTGCCAGAGCTATCTCCTGGTTTTTTTTTGGGGCATCGAACAGTTGTATTGCTGATTTTCAAGGCCATCATCTGGTTGTTTGTTGTGGTGTTCTACCAAGTGGATGTTCGAGCCTCAGTTGATGCAAGCTTCAGCCACAAGCTACTGTTCTCTGAGCATTTATGCAGGTTTGTTATACCCTTGTTCTTCCTGCAGTTCTAGCTGCTATGTTGTAGCCCACCCTTCCGTTTTTTTGGGGGGTTTTTTCGGATGTGCTCCACAGTCTAGGTAAGAATATATAAATTATTTATATATTGCAAAGGGTATCACTTACCAGGTTCTTTCAACTAAGTTGTTTTAGCTGGGGTAAATTATAGCTGGACAACCACCTTACCACACTGCTCTGATTTTAATATATAGCACCATGAAATACAGATGTCATTTATATTCTGTACTGCTTTTAAAGAGACACATTAAAATACCGAACTCTAAGAATAAAGATGTATTCGATTTCGATTTACCAGTCCTCAGATGTGATGGTTGCAATACTTTTTTTTTCATGCATTTTTCCTTTTTATTATACCTGGTGATTTTACCAGTAACACACAGTCCACCCTGGAGTAATTGTAACATATTTTTGGGTGATCCCCGAAGTTACCCAGGATAAAATGTGTTTCGAACTACAGAACACCTCCCCCTCTTCTCATTACACAGGGAATAAAGAATTCTGTTTTTAGTAAAATGTTCTAGGCTTGTACCTTTCCTGTTACTGGGTTCATATGGACTCCTATAATTTCACCCTCACCCCCCCTCCCACCTTTTAAGGCTGTTTATATGGATGTATTTCCCAGGGATTCCTGCGTGTGGGGTGGGCCCCCTGGCACTTCTTCTCTGTGGGGTCCTGCTATTGAGGTTGAGATGCCAGAGGGAGGGGAGTGGGTGGTTTGTCTTGAGATCCTCGGGGTTCTCTCACCTATGTCTGCTACTGTTCACCTGTTTTTTGATTACCAGTTCTCTGTGTTCTCCAGTACCCAAGTACATGCTGTTGCTTTCATTCTTTTGAATATTGTGTGTTATGCATTTACGCCCTGTGCATTTTATTCTGCTTTGGTCATGGCAGTTTTGCTGTCATATGATGTACTTGCTTTTGATTGAACTTGGAATTTCTCCCTTTATTTGTTTAAGAAACTGTTTATGAAACTAAAATGTTATAGGCTTTAATTAGGTCCCTTTTACTGGCTAGAAGAGCATGGTGCTGAGATTATTGTTGTAGGTAAAAGCATTCTTTGTACAAATCATCTTTATGGCTGCATAATGTAGCTGCGTGGTTGTCTTTCTTGCCCAGATATCGGATCTTTGCCTTTGATCATGACCTGTTCAGCTTCATTGACCTGCAACATGATGAGTGGCCTGCAATTCTCATTACTAACCCCAAATCTGCTCTGTATACAAACCCAGCAGTGGAGCCTTTGAAACGCATCCAGCACTCAACACACATCAGGTATCAGATGCTTTCTGTGAAAGGATGACAAGATGATTACTGTCAGTAATGTTTCATACAGAGTAAACTGGGAGAGCACAAGATATTGTACATACAATGCAGAAACTAATCAATACAATTAAGAGTCAATAAGTGTCATTAAAGTTAACCTGTTCTTTGGCTGTGCAGTGAAAAGCAGCAGGTGTACCTTTTAAAGTTCTCCTCTGCAAAAGAAAAAACCTAAATAAAAAATGGATTCTGCTCAATACCTCAACCCAGATCAAAGTTCTTTATCAGATTAACATAGATAAACTGTATATCTAGTGAAAAAAAGTTTAATACCGACAGATATCATTGATTTATTAATTCCATTTATTAGTTAAAAACCAAAACACACTAAACATATAGACAAACCCTTTAAAAACATATCAAAAGTCATGTCTAAGGATCAATGGAATATCTTGAAACCGTGTGTGTGTGTGTGTGTGTGTGTGTATATATATATATATATATATATATATATATATATAATTTATTGTATACTCCTGTCTAAGAAATTTCAATTACTAGGAATCTCTCAGGAGATAGAGGGACAGCTAAAAAAAAATAAAGAAAAGGATAGGTAAGGTGGCCAAAAAATGGATAAATGCACAACATGCTGGACAAACATTCCCACAGTGAATGCAGCGTCCTGGGTTTAATATCACTTGAAGAATTTCATAAATGGACAAAGCTAGATATATTTATTGTAGCCACAAAAGTCCAAACTGCAGGGAACAACTGGATGTGGTCTGGAAGAGGAACCCAAACTTCTATAAGGGAATTCTAATGATGTATATTAGCACAAATCAACCTTATCTGACCGTCAACCTCCCTCACACAGCTGGCTGTTGTTGTAAAAGGCATCCACATGGATTTGGACTTAGTTGACCAGCACATTCTGTATATCATGTGCATATCTCAGCCCAACTACAAATCATAGGTTTTGGATAGGGTTGATGTTTGTTGAGTGTGTTTTGGTTTTTAACTAATAAATGGAATTAGTAAGTCAATGCTATCTGTCGGTATTAAACTTTTTTTCATTAGACATAGTTTATCTGTGTTAAGCTGATATATAACTTTGATCTAGGTTGAGGTATTAGGCAGAATCCATTTTTTTTATTTAGGTTTCTTCTGATACAATTGTTTTGTGGCGTGCTCCCTCCCATTTGTCATATAAATATAAAGGTGGGACCTGGTAGGATCTGTGCTTTTTATTTTTCCTTTGTATCCTCTGCAAAAGCTTGTGCTTACTTTGCTTTGCACACCCACCACTCCCATTTGCTGACAGAAGGAGAAAATTCTACAAGTTGATAATGTTCAGAGCTTACACAGGACTGAGAGATATTTTCCACCTACATGTGATGGCTCTGGCACTGTGTCCAAGAACCAGCACTGTCATGTGGGAGGAAGGAAAGTAAAGATTTCTCTTAAAGCTCCACTGTAACACTAAACATTGATATACTGGATTTAATATCTTCCTACTTTAAAATTGTGTGTTTTTTTTTTTTTTTAGACTTTCATATAAAGCCAACTACACACTGCAAGTTTTTTTGTTATATCTAGTGTATTGAAAATAAAATAAATTGACAGATCAAAGTGCCAACATAAGCAATATTGGTGGGGCGATCTCCCCCACTGTGCTATTGTATTCAGAATATACCCCCCCCCCAGCCATTGGCTGCAAGCCTTGATCAGATGCTGCTTTTTAGCATGTCCCTTTCACAATAGCAGGTCAGACTTCTGTACACACTGACTGAAAATCAGCCAATTCCTGCTGAACCAGCCGATTTTCGGACAGTCTATATTCAGCTTAAAAAGAAACCGTAAAGAATACAACATATTTCCCTTGAGAGAATTAATTCATTATTCTTTTTAAGAGTTCTGGTGTTTTCCCCGGATCCCATCATCTCAGTCAAGGTGTTCATAGATGGAATTGAACTGGGAGATGCTGAGAATTCCTCTGGTCCTTTGTACGTGTTGGAGTGGAGTGCTGAAGCATATATAACTGGACTACATGAGATTAAAGTCCAAGTGAAGGTAAACTACAAAAAAAAAAAAAATTACTGCACTGTATTTGACAACTACAATGAAGCAACTGTTAAAAATGCAGAGAAATTTGATCAGGACCAGACTTATACAGGAATCTGGATATCTCGTTTTCTATTTTTATTAATGAGCAATCTTGACTTTTGAGAGAGAAGTTTTTTGCTCTAAAAAGAAAAAAAATCTATATCTCTGCAAAGAAAAATCAGGGCCAGGCTTATGTCTCTACAAAGAAAAATCAGGGTCGGGCTTATACAGGAACGTAGAACCTATCTAATTTTCTATTTCCAGAAATTAGCAATTTTTCCTTTTGAGAGATGAAGATTTTTTGCTCTAATTTTACTAAGGGCCTTTATCAATGAAATTTTGTCTTTGTCAAGTCAGTGGGAATGCGAAATGGCCCAAAGCAGGTCGATGCAGCTTTCAAGGTCAAATGCAGGTTAGATGTGTCAGATGTCATGTTAGCTCTATTTAGCTTTATTTTCATATAATTTATGAAAACAGACAGGGATCTGGAATTAAGGAGAGTGCCTACTAATTTTCATAAATTATTTGATAATCCGAGTTCTTTATTTGTGCTAATCTGAAGATTAAATAAAAAGCAATAATGTGCAACAATATATATTTGTTAGTAATAAAATCAGTGCAAAATGGTAATTAAAAAATAATAGGTGATGATAAATAATACAGTCAGGTCCATAAATATTGGGACATCGCCACAATTCTAACATTTTTGGCTCTATACACCACCACAATGGATTTGAAATGAAAGCAAAAAGATTTGCTTTAACTGCAGACTGCCAGCTTTAATTTGAGGGTATTTACATCCAAATAAGGTGAACGGTGTAGGAATTACAACAGTTTGCATATGTGCCTCCCACTTGTTTAGGGACCAAAAGTAATGGGACAGAATAATAATCATAAATCAAACTTTCACTTTTAAATACTTGGTTGCAAATCCTTTGCAGTCAATTACAGCCTGAAGTCTGGATTGCATAGACATCACCAGACGCTGGGTTTCATCCCTGGTGATGCTCTGCCAGGCCTCTACTGCAACTGTCTTCAGTTCCTGCTTGTTCTTGGGGCATTTTCCCTTCAGTTTTTTCTTCAGCAAGTGAAATGCATGGTCAATCGGATTCAGGTCAGGTGATTGACTTGGCCATTGCATAACATTCCACTTCTTTCCCTTAAAAAAAACTCTTTGGTTGCTTTTGCAGTATGCTTTGGGTCATTGTCCATCTGCACTGTGAAGCGGCGTCCAATTCTGAGTTCTGAAGCATTTGGCTGAATATGAGCAGATAATATTCCCGAAACACTTCAGAATTCATCCTGCTGCTTTTGTCAGCAGTCACATCATCAATAAATACAAGAGAACCAGTTCCATTGGCAGCCATACATGCCCACGCCATGACACTACCACCACCATGCTTCACTGATGAGGTGGTATGCTTAGGATCATGAGCAGTTCCTTTCCTTCTCCATACTCTTCTCTTCCCATCACTCTGGTACAAGTTGATCTTGGTCTCATCTGTCCATAGGATGTTGTTCCAGAACTGCGAAGGCTTTTTTAGATGTCGTTTGGCAAACTCCAATCTGGCCTTCCTGTTTTTGAGGCTCACCAATGGTTTACATCTTGTGGTGAACCCTCTGTATTCACTCTGGTGAAGTCTTCTCTTGATTGTTGACTTTGACACACATACACCTACCTCCTGGAGAGTGTTCTTGATCTGGCCAACTGTTGTGAAGGGTGTTTTCTTCACCAGGGAAAGAATTCTTCGGTCATCCACCACAGTTGTTTAACGTGGTCTTCCGGGTCTTTTGGTGTTGCTGAGCTCAGCGGTGCGTTCCTTCTTTTTAAGAATGTTCCAAAGAGTTGTTTTGGCCACGCCTAATGTTTTGCTATCTCTCTGATGGGTTTTTTTGTTTTTTCAGCCTAATGATGGCTTGCTTCACTGATAGTGACAGCTCTTTGGATCTCATCTTGAGAGTTGACAGCAACAGATTCCAAATGCAAATAGCACACTTGAAATGAACTCTGGACCTTTTATCTGCTCAATGTAATTGGGATAATGAGGGAATAACACACACCTGGCCATGGAACAGCTGAAAAGCCAATTGTCCCATTACTTTTGGTCCCTTAACAAGTGGGAAGCACATATGCAAACTGTTGTAATTCCTACACCGTTCACCTGATTTGGATGTAAATACCCTCAAATTAAAGCTGACAGTCTGCAGTTAAAGCACATCTTGTTCGTTTCATTTAAAATCCATTGTGGTGGTGTATAGAGCCAAAAATGTTAGAATTGTGTCGATGTCCCAATATTTATGGACCTGACTGTAATTAAAACAAAATAACAGTTCAATGATCTAATCAGTAATAATGGTTACAAGCTCAAACCAGCAATATTAAATATTAATGAAATAGGACCAACTGTCTAAAAATTACAGCATATGAAACTGTGACTCAGAATATGACAAAGAATATGCAAATTGACCATGTGATCTCTTTACAACCAGATATTCAAAGCTTAAAGTTTACATTAGCATGAAATGATTTAGAATAACATACACAGAAAATCCAATAAGTTTAGAATCTATCTGAGGTCAAGAACAAATGTTCACTAAGTTGTCTACTTTGTCATATATGCCCAACTAAACCATTGACTAGTAGCTGAAATCCGCTTTGGGGATATTCCAAAGAGCATAATCCAACCCCCCGATAATTGAAATGAAGATAATTTTATACTGCAGTGAAAATGATTTCAAATCAACTCCAGTGCTAACAATAACCAGTATCAGGCTAAACGGTTTAGTTGGAGATATAAGGCAATCGCAAATTGCCTGCAGAAAAATTATATATATATATATATATATATATATATATACATACATACATACATACACACACACTGTATGTATACATACAGACATTAGCTGAGGTCATTTGTACTGAGATTTCTCAATTATCTAACTTCTTCTGTAGCATACAGATGTTGTAATATAATAAACTCAAAATAATTATTTATAATGTTGAAAACATAATATCCTAAATATATACTAATATGTATAAATTGCTAAAACCAATTAATATAGTTAAAATATATATACATATGGAAATTGAATATAATAATGTAAACCCAAATTACTTAATTAGGCAAGTATTCACTTCATGCAATAATAATAATACAATTGACATTTTTGGTTAAAATAATCCTGTCAAGTAATAACACCATATGCAATGTAAATTTTAATATGAACTCTTTTTTTTCCATATGTTCATGGGGGGAAAAAAAATCTTTGTGAATAGTTTTGTCTTTTGTTCAATCGAGACATGAATCCACAATTAATCTTGCAAATTGGTACCATGTTCAGTACTTACCTCTTTGTCTGATACCACCATACCCCCCAAAAAAAATTTACATCCTGGGAAAGTATCCTATAAGAAACTGAGAATGTCTACTGTTAGAATATTTGTTCAGAAACCATGAAAATAGAATTTAAAGAACAAAATTGCTTCTAGCATGCCCATGTAACATTTATGTAGAGATAAGTTCAGGCCTTCCAGTTTCATTCAGTGAGCACCGAATAGTTCCGACAGATGCTCCTGTCAGTTAACTGTAAATGCTCTGAAAAGCATCTCATATTAACCTTGAATGTGAGCTGAAGGCCCTAAAGGCATGCTGCACTTTCCTATCAACACAAGGCCTTGGTGTGAACAGGACACATAGAAAACAATTGTGCCCTTGTAGAACGTCTGCACAAAAACTGAAACCATGGTGTGAATGTGGCCTTAAACATGAGGTTCAAGAATCAGTGGTCTATTGAAGTCATGCAGTTGCTGCCTGAACTTGCACAGCAGTTATGTTATTTTGTATATGGTGGTTTGTATTGGTTGATGCAGTACCTTTTGATATGGATTTCTTGAACCTTTTCCCTGGATTTAATGTTTAACCACTTGTCTACCGACGTTGTTTATAAACGGCGGCTGGTAGAATGGGATTTTAAACACATTAGCAGCTGGGAGTGTGTTTACTTTTGTTCAGCTGGTGATGGTGATGTACTTTCTGGTTCAGCCGCCTGATCACTTCCACTGTCTCTGAAGGTATAATAGCAATACTGCTTGGGTCATCAGCATGGTCTTATGTTCAGGTGCATTTAACATGGGCCGTCTGAAATGCCAAGATCCTCACTCATTCTCCTGCATTAACTATAAGAGACCTCAGTGACGATTTGTGAGGAGATGAACAGAGCTTTCTACAGGTTATACATATAGTAACTGTACACTTAGCCTCACAGATTAGTCGTGCACATGCATGTAACTGTAGAGTTGTATTAATGTGTGTCTTACAATAACCTTCATCCATCAAAGAAGGTTCACTCTCTCTGCAAATTTATATTGGATGAACTTATCCTTTTATTAACGCAGGCATTCTGGCAGTTTGTTCATACGTTTTACAGATTAAAAATGCGTTGGTACAAACAATGGTCAATGATGAGCACAATAATTACACAGACCCCTTTTATGGCAAATATTGGCCACACTCATTTTTTATCCTGCTAACTAATTTAGTTTGAGTTTTTATTGACAAATATGTAGTAACACTGCTTCAAGCCGGTCTCTCCCTTTTGTTAACCCCAATCCACAGCCAGTGCAGGCCCGGTTCACCACTGAGTAACTATTCAAGTAAAGGTGGATGACTGCACACCCATGTAATGGAAAATCCAGATACTTTATTCAGTGTTATAATAGTCAAAAACATCATAGAAAACACCTTAACGTGTTTCAGATACAGAACGCTTTCTTATAACCCACCGGTGTGCAGTCATCCACCTTTACTTGAATAGTTTGACCTTATACATAAGTGGTGAGACTCAGTCTCTGAGTGGAAAGGTTGTTCTGATCAAGCACGGTTGTAATAAAGATTCAGTGACCAACTGTTTGTCCCTAGACTAAATTTTCAGGGAAATAAAAAAGAGAAAAAAAAATCTGTATCCATTTTGAATTTTTGTACAAAATGATTACTTTGGGGCCAAACTTTTGGTGGCATTGGAGGCTCTGTGTGGCCAGCAATCATAGGGTTTATTTTATCAACACTTCACCATTTGTATCGTAGGATGCTGCTGAAAGGAAACAAACCAGAAGCCATCTGTTCAGCTTAGAAGATGATGTTTCTGTCAGCTTCAGTCTGTTTCCATCTCTAATTCTCCTTACAGATCACTACATCGTGGTAAGTTAGGTTTGTTCTTTCTTTAAAGCAAACCTGTCTCAAAATGTGTCAATTAAAGTCAAACTGAAAATAATATATAAGCATCAGATACCTTCAGCGAAACAGCCTATTGAAACAATCTGTCAATCTGCCTAAAATTGTATGCAACTTTACTTGTGAGCTTGGTCTTACTACCTCACTCCTTGGTCTCCCCATTAGTCCTTTTGAACATGGATGCTCTAAGAATATTTTAAAGATGGATTCACTTATTGACAGGCAGGGCCAAGCTCAACAAGAAAAAAATTCCATTCAGATTTAGCTTGAAATAAAAACAAAAATGTTTTAGTCATATTTTTAAAACATATATCTAAATTTCAGATTCCAAATCCAAACTCTAAATATATGTCTTTTTGTCTTTCACAGGCACAGGTGATATTTATTGTCCTGGTGCTCTGTCAGCTCCTTGTACTTATTGTTTTCAGAATAAAGAGGAGGCCAACACTAACAGGTATGTGTCAACAAAGCTAGTACTTCCATGATTGTATTGAGGGTCATTCTTTTGTTGTCTGGTACAAAAAAAAACATATAGAACCATATACTGTAAAAAGATAACCTATAACCATACAGTAATTAAAGAAAATCTTGTAGGAGAGAAACTTAAGCATGTTGTAATATCTTTCTCATAATGTTTAGATTAAAATGCAATACTTTACTGTTTAAAAAAAAAAAGTATTGAATCACCACTCTTGGAAAATGTTAATTTAATTGTTTAATTGTGTAGAGGAAAAAAATACAACAATCACAGCCATGCCTCAAAACTATTTTCATTAACATCCCACCCTTCTTAGAAACACTTAGAAAAATAAAAAGAAAGAAAACTGTAGTCGATTGCAACTGTTTTTGCAGATCAAGCAGAGGAAAAAAATTATGGAATCACTCAATTCTGAGGAAAATATTATGGAATCACCATGTACTTAGCAGTTCTAAAACAAATCTCTGCGTCGGATTACATCTGCTATTTAGCCTGCAGTTAAAAAAAAGAGTGCTTGTACACCTTGGTGAGCTATTGCACCAAGCAGATTGACCTGAATTATGGCTCCAACACCAGAGATGTCAGTTGAAACAAAGGAGAGGATTATAAAACAACTTCAAGAAGTAAATCATCACGGAATGTTGCAAAAGATGTTGGTTGTTCTTAGTCAGCTGTGTCTAAAATCTGGACCAAGTAAAAATCAAAAGAGAAGCATACTGGTAGACCAAGGAAGACATCAAAGCGTCAAGATAGAAAACTTAAAGCAATATGCCTTGAAAAGAGAAAATGCACAACAAACCAAATGAGGAACAGATGGGCAGAAACTGGAGGCAATATCTGTGAGCGAACGGTAAGACATCACCTAAATGGGATTTACATATAGAAAAGCCAAACGAAAACCATCATTAACACCTAAACAGAAAAAAGCAAGGTTACAGTGGGCTAAAGAAAAGCAATCATGGACTGTGGATGACTGGATGAAAGTGATATTCAGTGATTAATCACCAATCTGCATTAGGCAGGGGGATGATGCTGGAACTTTTGTTCGGTGCCGTTCCACAGAAAAGACGACTGCCTGAAGAAACATGCAAATTTCAACAATCATTGATGATATAGGGTTACATGTCTGGTAACACAGGGGAGATGAGTCAGTAAATCTTCAATAAATGCACAAGTTTATATTAAGATTTTGGACACTTTTCTTATTCTATCAATTGAAAGGATGTTTGGTGATGAATGCATCTTGCCATAGGGTAAAAGCCATGAAAACTTTCCTTCAAGAAAGACATATAGGGGTTTATTTACTAAAGCTGGAGAGTCCAAAATCAGACTCCCTTCTGCATAGAAACCAATCAGCTTCCAGGTTTCATTGCCAAAGCTTCATTGAACAAGCTGAGGTTAGAAGCTGATTGGTTTCTATGCAGAAGGGAGTCTGATTTTGGACTCTCCAGCTTTAGTAAATAAACCCCATAATGTCACTGGCATGGCCTTCAAATAGTGTGGACATTAATCCAATTGAAAATCTATGGTGGAAATGAAAGAAAATGGTCCATGACAAGGCTCCAACCTGCAAAGCTGATCTGGCAACTGCAAAAGACTTTAAAGGATTCTTGTTGCTAACTTAGGGGCCAGTTCTTTGACTGGGCCTAAGAGACACAGCCTGGGTGATAAGGCAATATAGATATGAACCACTGAATTAATAACCTCTAAAACCTGTCGCCAGTATATAACTATTGCAGAGTACGACCAAAATACATGAATGTAGTCCCCCATAAAGTGTGAACACCTCCAGCAAGTGGGAGATATAGAGGACTCCATGTTGTGAAATCTATACGGAGTAACATATGCTCTCATTGTGCTGAATCTTTAGTGCCTTCCTGTAGTAACACATACCCTAAATGCTTGTTTGCACTCCATCCTCTAAGATCAGACTCGTCATCCTAAAAGATGGACCTCATATAAAGACAAGGTCAAGAACATATGCTTTCTCCCACTCCGAGGTTAAGTAGCAGCACTTTTTATCCGCAACAGTTTTCTCCCATTCTCCGAGTGACAGTCTTTTTTTTTTTTTTTTTTTTTTTTTGGTTAGGGCGGATTTACACTTGTGCAAATAAAAAATGCAGATTATTTTTATGCTTTATATTTTTTTTTTTTTTTACTAATTTATTATTATTTGTTTAGTTTTATTAACTTTGTTTAGTTTGTTCATTAACAAACAGAAACATAGTAAACACAGTTTACAATGCTTCTGTTATGAATGTACATTCAGTGATCGGCACCAATTGGCATATCTACTGGCACCATCCGCAGCTCTCCATCCTTACACATCCCCCGGAGGAGCTGGCAGGAGAGTAGGTAATCCAGCTGCACTGCAGTGCTGCAGGGGCACAAGGGGCGCTGGGAGAGCATATAGTGGTCCGGGTGACAGGGGAAATCAGCTGCTGAAAACAGCTGAAAGTCTTGGGAGGGAGAGGAGAAGCAGCTTTTGGCTGCTTTCACGGAGCACAATCAAGGGAGATCGGTGCTTGTAAATTGCCCCCCTTCACTGCACTGATCACTCCCGAGTGTCAGATTCCCTCTGCTGCAGGTTGTTTCTGTACATTTTGGCACAGTTCGCCTGCAGAGTGGTGCGGAAATCTGCAGCAGTGTTGCAGATTTCTGCAGTGCTCTGCACCAAAAGTGACAGGTGTAGGGAAGTGTGAACTGGGTACATAGAAAATCATTCTTTTCTGTGTAACCCTTGCAGAGCGCTGCGTTTTTCTGGAAGAAAAGCGCAGCTCTCTGCTATAGTGTGAATGGGCCCTTAAAACCAGCTAACAAGGGGGTTAGTCATATATTTGATACATTTGTACACACTGAGTTTGATGATAAAGAATGTAACAAACGTTTACAGGGATTATCGAATCGTATAAATAAAAGGTAATTATTCTTACAGGTTCCAGTAAGTGAATTATTACAAAAAAAGTCAAGTAGAATTGAAGTGAACCTGTCCTTTTCCAGTTCATTTCCTCTCTGCAGCTGGTACTTCACTTGCTCTCCCACCTTCCCACTTGTCAGAGCCCCTCTTGAAATATCTGTGTAGTATCTAAGTTGGGTTTGGATCCAACTTTACTGAGTGCTAAGGGCTTTCTTAACAGTCCCACCTGACTGACAATATGCATATGCATCCTATATTAATGACCTGAAGTAGATCAGTTTGGCAGCCAGGCAACTAGCATTTGCTGCATAAAAATTCAGCAATGACAGCCTATGTTTCTCTGGCAAATATTTCCCTTTACCAGCTGCAGTTCCCAGCACTACAACCTGTGGAAGGATGTCTCCATATCTGTATAATTGTAGATGGTATTCATAATTCTTTGCAATCCAGCTTATAAATATTCAATATACTGTATATGGTATGCATTACACTCTCATATGTTGAGACAGGAAATTAGGGAATATTTACCCAATGTTTAAATCCAGGAGTAATCCAACCCTTTAATGACATAAAGTTGTTGGCTAAAACTGCTTTGACTTAGAAATTTCAAAGAAACTAAAGTACCGTATGTGAAATTGAATTTTTACATAGGGGTCTCACCCAGTCCTTTCTCTTGTATAGCAGCTTGAGTAAATACAATTACTAACCATTCACGCCCTTTGAAAACACTTATTCTGTTGAATAGGTGCAGTGTCACTGACAACCAATGGTCTCTACTAATGATCACAAACCAGTAAGTAAAGTTCTGATCATGCGATTACCATGACAGTTAATTATATTTATCACATGCAGGCTCCAGGTTTATTCACCAATAAACTTCAGCCTGCAGGTCAGACTGCTGCCTGAAGGTGGCAATGTGCCTTTGTTTAGTTTAGTAATATAATTGTCAGAACATTACAGTTTAAAAAAAATCCCATAGTTTTATCTATTTTTTAGCCTATAATAAAAAAAAATTATTATTTATTCATACACTGTACCACGTAAAAGCTTTATATCCTCAAAAATCATTTAAAATTACAATCTCTCTATGAGCAAGACTAGTCTAACTAATAAATGGGAATGAAAACTTCAAAGAATGTTGTGAAAACAAGCAGAAGAAAAAAAAAAAATTATCAGAAAGAAAAAGCCACACTAAACAACAAACTATGTGTCAGCAGCAACTCCCACCAAAAAAATTATATATGTGCAAAAATTAATTTGGCAAAGTGAACAAATTATCATAAGGGTATGCGCTAAAAATACATATATATACAAAAATATCACCGTATATTAAGTGTCCAAAATAAGTATATTAAGTGTCCAAAATAAATTAGTGTCCAAAACAAATTATCTTCTGTGACTTCATAACACTGTGAAAAATCCACCACCAAATGAATTAAATAAACTCACCAGAGCTATATCAGCATATAGCTCTGGTGAGTTTATTTAATTCATTTGGTGGTGGATTTTTCACAGTGTTATGAAGTCACAGAAGATAATTTGTTTTGGACACTAATTTATTTTGGACACTTAATATACTTATTTTGGACACTTAATATACGGTGATATTTGTATATATATGTATTTTTAGCGCATACCCTTATGATAATTAGAAAAAAAAAATAATTGAAATGTTTACTACCGGTATTTTATTTGTGTTTTCCATGCTTCTAGGACCCCCTGGAAATTTCACACTGGCCACTTTCTCTATGCATGTACTAAGCAAGAACAGTGTTTTCTTCTATGCCATTGTACTGCTGACTATTTTCACAGCCATAGGTAAGTCTTTTAAAAAAGAGCAGGTTGAAGATACCTTCTTGATGCCTCCTTTAGGAGAACCTAGCATCTGCATTTCACTATCACAATTCAGCCCCCTTGTGATAAAAAAGAAAATTGAAAACAAAGTAAAAAAAATATATCTAATATTTCAGTTTTTTTATTTTTCATTTTCAGAGTTTCTAAAAGATCTACCGTATTTTCCGGCGTATAAGACGACTGGGCGTATAAGACGACCCCCCTACTTTTCCTGTTAAAATATAGGCTTTGGGCTATACTCGCCGTATAAGACTACCCCCCTCTACCAACCAATCACGGCAAGCGATGTACCAGTATTTTCTGTGCACACTGCATACAAAGCCTGCTTGGATTGGGTGGGTCAGCTCTCCCTGCCTGCCCAGCCCTCCCTGTCTCCAAGATGATCTGAGAACTGCCACAGTTATTAATATATAATAATTAATGTTAATTACCGTATTTCCTGCAAGGTACTGCCTAGCTGACGCTTCTGCACATGTCTTCGGCAGCAGTAGACGATCGCTGATCACCATTCCTCACAGAACTGCATGAGACGTCGGATGCAGCCGTTCATGCTCGATTGAGCTTGACTGAAACTGTGATATGCAGAGAAGGGATACACATCGGGTAGCGGCAAGAAGACGCTTCTGCACATGTCACAGTTTCAGTCAAGCTCAATCGAGCACTGAACGGCTGCATCCGACGTCTCATGCAGTTCTGCGAGGAATGGTGATCAGCGATCGTCTACTGCTGCCGAAGACATGCGCAGAAGCGTCAGCTCGGAAGTACAGGTAAGGTTTCAGCACAACACCCGGCGTATAAGACGACCCCCGACTTTGTAGAAGATTTCCAGGGGTTAAAAAGTCGTCTTATACGCCGGAAAATACGGTACTTTGTGAAAGCAAAACAGGTAGAATAAAAAGACAGTGCTAATAATTTTGTAGGTCCTAGGATAGTTGCAAAAATGTTTAGCAAACTGATATTTTCCATAAAAATACACTAAAATCATTATTAGAGCTCAAAATCGCAACATAACTTTTTAAATTCCTACTAAATATAAATGCTAAGACTGTATTGAGTTAATAAATAACAAATATTTTTTACATTTTAAATCATGCTTTTTTTGTGAAAATCAAAGGTCCAAAAAACGTTAAATATGTAGGCAGCACATTAGCTAAATGGTTATCACGTCCGCCTGGCAGTACTAGGGTCGTTGGTTCGAAACCCAACCACGGCACCACCTGCCTGGAGTTTGCATGTTCTCCCTGTGCCTGTGTGGGTTTCCTCCAGGAACTCTTGTTTCCTCCCACACTGCACAGAAATGCTGGTAGGTTAATTGGATCCTGTCTAAATTGGCCCTAGTATGTGTATGTATGAATGTAAGTTAGGGACCTTAGATTGTACACCCCTTGAGGGTTAGGGACTGATGTGAACGTACTATATATATATATATATATATATATATATATATATATATATATATATATATATATATATATAAAAGCAGGGTAAATGGCGCTATATAAGTACCTGAAAAGAATAAATAAGCAATTTATGCTAAAAATCTACAGTATCATGTGTGCGTTGTGATAAAATGATTCATGCACACATTTTATTACAGCATAGTGCATTACATTTGAAGCAGTGCGTTGCAGCATGCTCCTGTGCATAGTGATGAATGTAAATTTCAAAAGGAAAAAACAGAAGTCCTGTGACATGTAACAATGCACTGCAGCATATGTGAAAAATGCACACCAGCATGCATGCATAGTGTTTTCAGCTATATTAGCATGCACTGCATTAGGGAAGTCCATTCATTCGAATGGGCTGCCCAACACACATCACACTAAAAAGGTGCATATACCTTTTTTTTTTTTTTTTTTAAATGCAGTGCACCACAATATATGATAATAAGGTACCATGTGTCAAGGTGCACTTCTATGTACGCATGTTAGGATTGTGTTTGGGGTGCCAGTGACTATGAAAAACCCTCCAGTGAAACAACCAGAACACATTTTTTTTTTTTTTTGCTTTTTCCCACTGCGGCAATGTGCACAGTGGCACATGTGTTCCTGCATCACATCAATGTGAATAAGAAATAAGTTGTTTTATTCATTTTTTTTTCATTATTTAAAGTTTTAACTACTGGGAGGGGAGGGGGTGGATAGTTTAGTGAAGTATCAGGGGTCTGAACAGACCCCAGGATATATCACTTTTGAAATAATCGTTCAAGCTCTTTTTCTATTGCACCTGCACTCACATACTTTACAGGAAGCAGTCTGTACAGAGTGCTTCTTGTTCATTCAGAAAAGAAGATCGTAAACATGAATGGCCACTTTTTGAATGAATTGCTATGATAAGGGGCTTGTTAGCTGCTGATCATAACTATTCAATTAGTAGTCAAGAATGCTGTTCCGTGCCACCGTATGCCTTATGTCAGTGGCAGCAAAAGGGTTCAAACTGTAATGTTTTATATTAACATAACATTTGGAGATTATACTGTATATATGTGTGCACACTAAAACTGGAGTGCATTTTATACCTAAAGTAATAGGCTTGATAAACCGCTATGAGACTATCTTACTATTTAGGCCTTCTGCCTTTAGAAAAGAAATATGCGTTTTATTGTGTGTGAGCAAAGGAAACATTGCTCTTTGTGTGGCAGTAAATGAAGAGATATGAATGATCAGATGCAGTAGGTGTTTTCCCTTTTTGTCTGAACAGCAGCCTCAACAAGCTTACAGAAACTCTCCAGTTATCCTTTTATTGAGCATTTTTCCTCTGTGATCTCAGGTCCATGGTTTATTGGGGAAATTATAGATGGCCACATCGGAGCTTGCTTCGCCTTTGGAGTGATTGTTGGAGGACATTTCCTGGATGGAAGTCTCACATACGTTGTTGGAATACTGCAGGTTTGTGTCATGGATCTTATTAATTTTGCAGTATGATCCATTATAATCCACTACAGTACTAGTTTGGTATTGGTGAAAAATGCTGGTGATGTGTGAATAGACAGCTATGAATGGGCTTTTTAATTAAAGCTGAAATTGAGGAATTCATCCACATTGTAAAATGTTGCAGGCATACTATGAGTTAAGTCCACTGCGGCACTTTGAGACATCTGACCGTTTTATAGATGGGAAGATAGCTTTTGCTTCATTTCTGGAGTTCCAGTGCTGGGCCTTCTGGTTTCAGTTCCTTAGTTGCAGAGTCACATGCAGCTGCTGTGCCTGCCCCTCCCCTTCTCTGGCCCAGTCAAAGAGCACTTTGTATTACATGAACTCATTCACAAAATACAAATGCTTCTGGGAATGGGCAGCAAAGAGGAGGGGCAGGCACAGCTGTTGTGTTTGAGAAAACAGCATCTCTGCTCTCAAAGCCACAGAGTGTAGCAATAGCTATCCTCCCAGAGCTCCATAAAACTGTCAGATTTAAATAAATTGGATATGTCCATGAGGTGGCAGGCACCTTGCTGGACTGTAGTATGCTTGCACATTTTACAAAGTGTCTGAATTCCTAGAGTTCAGTTTTAAGCTAAACAATGTGCAGTGAACCCTCAAACTGTCCACAGAGTTTTGATCTGCCTGCAACTGAAACCTTATGGTTGGTGTGAGGCAATGCACAGAGCCCAACAAAGTTACTGATTTCTTTAACCATTTCATTACTAATCGCAGTTTTACTCTTCATGAGCCAGAGCAATATTCACAATTCAGCTATTGGCCTGTTGATTTTTTATTACATTTGATTGAAAATCCTCTTGATCACCTCCCACATTCCTCCACTTCAGTGTATTACTGTGCCCAACTCATCTTTAACCACTTTCCCGCCACCCTATAGCAGATATACTGCTACAGGGTGGCAGGAATGCCGAAAAGTGTGTGTGTAAATATATAACATTTTAGCATTTCCGGGTAGAGGGTGTGCCACTATTCGCGGCCTAGGCTGTCAATCACCAGGTCCTGGCCGGTGAATACTTGCCGGCACCCGGTGATCGCGGAGCATTACCGACAGAGGGAGAGAACTGTATGTAAACAATACATTTCTCTTCCCTGTCAGCTCCTGCACACAGAGCCATGCAAAGCAGTGTGCTTACAGTTGAAAGCACTAACATAGCACACAGTTAACTCTTTGATCACCGCACGTTAACCCCTTCCTGTCCAGTGCCATTAGTACAGTGTCAGTGCTTTTTATTATCACTGATCACTGTATTGGTGTCACTGGGGATGTCACTGACACCAAGTCAGTTCCCCCCAGTGTCAGAATGCCCACCGCAGTCCCACTATAAGTCGCTGATCGCCGCCATTACTAGTAAAAAATTTAAATCCCAGTATATATACCGCCATTTGTAAACTCTATAACCTTCACGTAAACCAATTAATTTTACTTGTATTGGGATTTTTTAGCAAAGACATATAGCAGAATACATCTTGGCCTAAATTTGACGAAATTTGATTTTTGTTTTTTTACGGTACATGTTTAATAGCAAAAAGTAAAAAATTGGGGGTTTTTTTTCTCAAAATTGTCGGTCTATTTTGTTTATAGCACAAAAAATAAGAACCGCACAGGCGATCAAATACCACTGAAAGAAAGCTCTATGCGTGGGGGGAAAAAAGGACATAAATTTAATTTGGGTGCAGGTTACATGACAAGTGTCAGTTAAAATAGCACAGTGCTATAATGCAAAAAAATGGCCGGGGGGGGGTAAATCCTCTGGAGGGCAAGTGGTTAATGGTGCAACCTTTAGTGAAGAATGTTTTTCCATAATTCTGTTTCATAGATGCTATCATTACTTTTTTTTTTTTTTTTTTTTTTTTTGCAGATGGTGTTCTTTAATATTCCTCTGACTGCATACCTGTGCTGGTGTTTACTGTGTAGATGCAAGGGCCATGGTTTCTTTTCGCACCTGCGACACACTAGGAAGATTGTCTGTGTTCCAGTTCACTTCTTCATGTTCCTATTTATGGTCTGGCAGATCTATTCCTGTGTTTTCCTCTTAATGACTTATGGCACCTTAGCAACTTTCCTCTCTCCAATGAAGTTGTGGCTAGTGGTGGTTACATTCGCCTTGGGAAGGAAAGTGTGGGTGTTCAATTCCCCAGAACTAAGATCTTATATCATTGAGCTGAAGAACTGCCAGAGCACTTAACAGCTACCTTGTGACAAGGAAATATAGGTGCAGGATTATGTGATTTCATCCTTAAGTAGAACCTCATTTATACCTGGAAAGTTGATATTTCTAGGACCAATCTGACTAATGAATTGCAAATCATTCACATTATTGACTCTCAAGCCTACTGTAACATTATGGTATAAACATAAAAAAAAAATGAGGGAATGAAATGAAATTGACCACCTAAGCGCTGCTTTCTCAACCATAAAGGATACAGAAGAAAGAGGGATCGTCCTTACCAAGAGGTAAAGCCCCCCGGTGGGACAAGTGGTTACTGAGAAGATAAACAAGCTTATGTCAAAAAAGTGTTCTCTTTAATAAAGTCAACAAAGTGCATCATTATCAAAAAATTATAAAGTTAACATCTCATGTACTTAGAGAAAGCACGATGTTCAATATCCTTACCATGAATTACTAAATCAAACAGTTCTTAAAAACAGTATCAACAAATAAACGTCCGGACGTCAATATTAGAGATAGAGATATAGATAGATAGATAGATATAGATAGATATACACCTCTAATCTCAGAATACCGCTTAGGTATGTATCAAGTAATAACAGATGCTGGATATGCAAACGAACACACGCACACCCCAGGGCCCATGTATAGACTACCTAAGATGGGAAAAAGCAAGCTATAAGGCTTTTTTTTATATGTATATCTATATCTATATCTATATATATATATATATATATATATATATATATATATATACACACACACAGTGAGGAACAGAAGTATTTGATTTTGCAAGTTTTCCCACTTAGAAATCATGGAGGGGTCTAAAATACACATTGTAGGTGCATTCCCACTCTGAGAGACAGAATTAAAAAAAAAAAATTCAGGAAATCACATTGTATGATTTGTAAAGAATGTATTTGTCTTGCACTGCTGAACATAAGTATTTGAACATCTGAGAAAATCAGTGTTAATATTTGGTACAGACGCCTTTGTTTGCAATTACAGAGGTCAAACGTTTCCTGTAGTTCTTGACCAGGTTTGCACACACTGCAACAGGGATTTTGGCCCACTCCTCCACACAGATCTCCTCTAGATCTGTCAGGTTTCGTGGCTGTCGCTGAGCAACACGGAGTTTCAGCTCCCTCCAAAGATGTTCTATTGGATTTAGGTCTGGAGACTGGCTAGGCCACTCCAGAACCTTGATGTGCTTGTTACGGAGCCACTCCTTGGTTATCCTGGCTGTGTGCTTCGCGTCGTTGTCATGTTGGAAGACCCAGCCACGACCCATCTTCAATGCTCTGACTGAGGGAAGGAGGTTGCTGCTCAAAATCACACAATAAATGGCCCCATTCATCCTCTCCTTAATACAGTGCAGTCGCCCTGTCCCCTTCGCAGAAAAGCACCCCCAAAGCATGATGTTACCACCCCCATGCTTCACAGTAGGGATGGTGTTCTTGGGATGCAACTCATCCTTCTTTTTCCTCCAAACACGACGAGTAAAGTTTAGACCAAAAAGTTCTACTTTGGTCTCATCTGACCACATGACTTTCTCCCATGCCTCCTCTGGATCATCCAGATGGTCATTGGCAAACTTCAGACAGGTCTGGACATGTGATGACTTGAGCAGGGGAACCTTCCGTGCAATGCATGATTTGAAACCATGACGGCGTAGTGTTCTACTGACAGTGACCTTTGAAACTGTGGTCCCAGCTCTCTTCATGTCATTGACCAGCTCCTCCCTTGTAGTTTTGGGCTGATTCCTCACCTTTCTTATCATCAGTGATACCCCACGAGGTGAGATCTTGCATGGAGCCCCAGTCTGAGGGAGACTGACAGTCGTCTTTAGCCTCTTCCATTTTCTAACAATTGCTCCAACAGTTGATCTATTTTCACCAAGCTGCTTGGCAATTGCCCCGTAGCCCTTTCCAGCCTTGTGGAGGTCCATAATTTTGTCTCTGGTGTCTTTTGACAGCTTTTTGGTCTTGCCAATGGTAGTAGTTGGCATCTGACTGACTGTGGGGTGGACAGGTGTCTTTAAAGAGCTCTGACAGGTGCTACTAAGTTAGATTAATGAGTGGAGTAGAGGTGGACTTTTTAAAAGGCACAGTAACAGGTTTTTGAGAGCCAGAATTCTTGCTGTTTCTTAGGTGTTCAAATACTTATGTTCAGCAGTGCAAGACAGATAAATTCTTTAAAAAACAAATTCAGGAAATCACATTGTATGATTTTTAAATTCTGTCTCAGAGTGGGAATGCACCTACAATGTGAATTTCAGACCCCTCCATGATTTCTAAGTGTGAGAACTTGCAAAATTGCAGGGTGTTCAAATACTTCTGTTCTTCACTGTGTGTGCGTGCATGCATGCGTGCGTGCGTGTGTACGTACAGTGGGGATCGAAAGTTTGGGCACCCCAGCTAAAAATTTGTATTAATGTGCATAAAGAAGCCAAGGAAAGATGGAAAAATCTCCAAAAGGCATCAAATTACAGATTAGACATTCTTATAATATGTCAACAAAAGTTAATTTTATTTCCATCATTTACACTTTCAAAATAACAGAAAACAAAAAAATGGCCTCTGCAAAAGTTTGGGCACCCTGCAGAGTTAATATCTTGTACTGCCCCCTTTGGCAAGTATCACAGCTTGTAAACGCTTTTTGTAGCCAGCCAAGAGTCTTTCAATTCTTGTTTGAGGTATCTTTGCCCATTCTTCCTTACAAAAGTCTTCCAGTTCTTTGAGATTTCTGGGCTGTCTGTCACGCACTGCTCTTTTAAGGTCTATCCATAGATTTTCAATTATTTTGAGGTCAGGAGATTGTGAAGGCCATGGCAAAACCTTCAGTTTACGTCTCTTGATGTAATCCCCCGTGGATTTTGAGGTGTGTTTAGGATCATTATCCATTTGTAGAAGCCATCCTCTCTTTAACTTCAGCTTTTTCACAGATGGCATCAAGTTACCATCCAAAATTTGCTGAAATTTTATTGAATCCATTTTTCCTTCTACTCGTGAGATGTTCCCTGTGCCACTGGCTGCAACGTAACCCCAAAGCATGATTGATCCAACCCCATGCTTAACAGTTGGACAGAGGTTCTTTTCATTAAATTCTGTGCCCCTTCTTCTCCAAACGTACGTTTGCTCATTCCAGCCAAAAAGTTCAATTTTAACCTCATCGGTCCACAGAACTTGTTTCCAAAATGCATCAGGCTTGTCTATATGTTCATTTGCAAAGTTCAAACGATGATTTTTGTGGTGAGGACGTAGAAGAGGTTTTCTTCTGATGACTCTTCCATGAAGACCATATTTGTACAAGTATCTCTTTATAGTGGAATAGTGTACCACAACTCCAGTGTCTGACTGCACGATCCCTCCAGAAAGATCTGGCAAATGTGGGTTTTGAATTGTTTTTCTCACTATCCTGCGAGCTGTTCTGTCTGATATTTTTCTTGGTCTTCCAGATCTTGCTTTAACTTCCACTGTTCCTGATGACTGCCATTTCTTAATTACATTCCGAACAGAGGATATTGACATCTGAAAACGCTTTGCTATCTTCTTATAGCCTTCTGCAGCTTTGTGAGTGTCAACTATTTTCAGTTTTCTAGACAACTGCTTAGAAGAACCCATGGTGCTGATTGTTTGGGCAAGGTCAGATGAGTCTGGGCATTTAAAACCTTTGAGATTGACATAACCTGGTCTTCCCAGACGATGATTGAGAGCAATCCATGACACTGGCAGGTCTCAGCTTTGCAAAGGGGGCAGTGCATGCTATAAATTCTGCAGGGTGCCCAAACTTTTGCAGACGCCATTTTTTGGTTTTTCGTTATTTTGAAAGTGTAAATGATAGAAATAAAATCTAACTTTTGTTGATAGAAATAAAATCAAACTTTTGTTGACATATTATAAGAATCTCTAATCTGTAATTTGATGCCTTTTGGAGATTTTTCCATCTTTCCTTGGCTTCTTTATGCACATTAATACAAATTTTTAGCTGAGGTGCCCAAACTTTCGATCCCCACTGTATATCCCATCTTTCAGGTTAGATCATGTGGGTTAGTAATTGATGGTAATGGCAGAGAATGCCACCCTATGAAATCAGGATACATTGAAAAGTATCACTTCTTCAAAGTCCATGTCAATGCATCTTCATAAAGCTACATTTAGTAGCCAACTAGCATGTTCATGAGAAAAATAGAGGGTGAATCTTAGGCCAATCCAATCTTACAGTGTAAATCAACTATGTGTGTGTAAATACAAATCTGAATATTGAATTTAGGACTATTGCTGTGGCTTCCATTTAGTCCTTTTTCAAAATGGTTAATTGGGGGTTCATGTAGGATTAGTGTTAAACTTTCTACAGAGGCTGATGAGCTGTCATTTTTGCTGTTTAAAGAGACCATGTCACCAACTTAAACTTCAGATAAAAGCAAAGATAAATCAAGTATTTTAAATGCTTGCATAAATTATTTGAAGAGTCAATTCGCTAGCACAGCTGCTTTTACTCCTTGCATGTGTTAGCCCTCTCTTCTAGGAGTTTTTAATTGCTGCCTGTGCTAGCCCAGAACCCTATTCTTCACCTTCCTACATATCTTTGTGTATCTTCCGGGGAAGGGTGAAATATAGAATGCTACTTGAGTGATAGCTCTGATTATGCCGCCGTTACATCTACAGTATGTTAAATGCACATATAATCTGGGCATTTAATTCACAAGGGAAAGTATGGGTAAATATGGAAGGGATTTTATCCACTAGGGTTAAAAGTACTTACACTGCTGCATGGTGGCCCCTGTGCGCAGGAGCACGTATATAAATGTGATCCTGCATTTCTGGGTAGGGGGCGTGTGACCTATCCGCGCCACCAATCGCGGCCCCAGGTGTCAACCACCGGGTCCCAGACGGTGTTCACAATACAGCCTTCTTCCCTGTCAGTTTGGGCACACTGATTGGGATGGCTGAGCACAGAATCCTAGTGGCTAATTAGCTGCAGGATTGCTTTTACAAGCAGAGGGAGACTATGTC